TTTCTCTCTTTTCCTTTCAGCGGCTTATCCCGTTGGCGCGTTGCGTAATGAAGAGCGGCCCGCGCGCACGAGGGAAATATGCATTTTAACGAGTTTCGTGCTGCGGATTTCATGCCGTGCGCGCGCGCGTTAAGCGCCGCGCCGGTCGATACGCTTTATTAGATGCAACAAGTTCAAGATGGAACCCTCCTCCTCTTCTTTTTTTTTTTTACATTTTATTAGCTGCGTATACCTTGGCAGCTGGGATTAAATGCTTCCTTGGGGGCTTTCAGGGGTTCACGCGGGACCGCCGCTCCTGACGAAACGCCATCTCCTCGCGACTTTCTCATTCGCCTCGGTTCCCAATTAAAGCTGTAAAATCGCTAATTTTTTATGAGCGGCACTGCTCGTACGCGGCGGAGTTGTGCATTGTGCGCGCGCCAATGTTGACTTTTAACGCGGTTTCACGAGGCCTTCAAATAAGGGAAAATCAATAACAAGCCAGGCAGGCAGCAGAAGCGCTCGCGGCGTTAAAAGCCTATGTTTAAAATCAATTTTTAAGGAGCGACGCACGGGTTACGGAAATCCAATATAGCAAGGGTACGAGCGCGCGCGGCATATACGACTCTCCGCGCCTGGCTGAATTCAATTCGCGAGAGCTCTCTCTCTCTCTCTCTCTCTCTCTCTCTCTCTCTCTCTCTCTCTGCTCTGCCGTGTGCTCGACTCTATCGAGGCGACCGATCGACTTCTCGCCGCAGCCACTCGTCCCTTCTTTCGTTTTGCTCTTTACTCTCTGCTGTTTTATCGAGAAAACAACCACTCGGAAATGCCCTCCCGAATTATCGTTTCTTATATGCAGATGAGAATTGCTGGCTTTTGTTATGGGCAGTGCCCCGTAATGATGACCGCTGCTGATATACCCGCGGCAGGAATAACTTTTTCGTATAATTCATGCGGATTCGGCCACTTTCTACGCATTGGCTGCCCTTTTCAGGTGCTCGACGAATTATCTGACTCGTTCACGTCGAATACGGCCTTTTCGCGCGAGAACACCAGTTCTATCCTTATCGACGCGACCCAACTGCCGGCGTGCGCTTGCACAATATGCCGCATTATTTTTGGCTCGACTTCACTTTTACCGAATTCCCGCCGGTCCAGCGTGGAGGATGCGAGTTGTCGAGGCGCTCGCGATCAATCGACGCGTCATCGAGGCGCGAGTGACGCACGGAGCCGCGCGGTTTAATTAGCTATGATTGCCACGGCTAATGGCCGACAGGCACGCTCTTTTCATTTTCATGCGCGAGTCAAGCTCATCGCCGCGCCTTCATCGAGGCTGCTTAATTGGGTTTTTCGAAGCGAAAAGTACAACTGCAGCCTCGATGCGACGTCGAAAAATTTCATTTTTATCCAGCTGACAGCCGACGGCGAAGATCATTTTCCAACGTGAAGTCGGAAAATTCTTGGTCACCGGAATTCTCTTTGCCCCGAGAAGACGATAGCCGACCGACGGCCAAGGATCGAGATAGTCAGCATTCGCTCTTAGCGTATAATCACGTTTGTTCATGCGAGAGCGGCAACTCTGATCTATACTTTTTCAGCCTTCGCGTCGTTATGACTTTACCTGCTTTATCTGCCGCGCGTTATTAGTACTTCTTTCCCTCGGCAGCAAAACGGAACAAAAGAATGGCGGTAATGGGTCGGTTCCAGTGAAACCTGCGCCCGTGCGCAGGATGGAATTTTACTTTCACGCGGGAAAAGCAAGAAAAATTGTAACCTACACTTTCTACCGTTTGAATAACAAGAATCTTAAATATATTGGGCATTTAGCGAGGGGCTTCCTTGAAACTTTAATTACGAGCTTCCTCGTTCCTTCGCGCTCACTTATTAAAAATGCTCCGGCAAAGCGGCAGGACGGTGCAAACAAAGCCCCGACAGGCGCGCGAGGTACGCAGGTGTTTCGTAACATTGGCAATACACACGCGCACGCAGCTTGTCAATTGCGCGAATGCGATCCTGACGCAATCGGTCCGATTCGCTCGCGGCGCCGGTAGCGGCTGGGAACTCCGTGAGAATGCTTTTGTTTGCTGCAGCTATAAGTCGAGTGAACCACGAATACGGCGCAAATACGCATATGTAGGCGAATCATCTGCATTCGGGACGTCCGCTTTCACTTTTCCCGGTGTAGTCGTCGTCGTTGTCGTCGTCGTGACGTAATGGTAATAACTTGTTATTACAGTGTCTCAGGCATGGGCCGGCGTCGATTGGTCGAGTTTTCGAAGTGTCTGGGGCACCGTTTTGGCCAATCTGCCGCGACGTGTTTATATATCCCCTCAGGGAACTTCAGTTTCTCTCTCTCTCTCTCTCTCTCTCTCTCTCTCTCTCTCTCTCTCTCTCTCTCACTCACTCTCTTTGTGTACATTCTGAATGTCGGGTATTATGCTAAGAAATTAAATTGAGTCGACAGCAATGGGGAAGCTAACACTTAGTCCACACTCAGTGTGGGAACAATGACAGTCAACCGCTAATATTTGAATAGTAGAATGTATTATGTTGTGGCAACAGTCGCGATGTTGTTCCAAAGCACAGCCGCGGTGGTAGGCGACGGAGGCTAATAAGATGCGCGCGACCTAGTTATCAGATTGAAAAAACCTTCGGAGAACTGCCAATCCAATTAGTCGCTACGAGTTTATCAGTTCTGACGAGCCCGAGACTTTCTCGCTAATTGTGCGATACACCCGAAAAAAAAAATTAAAGAAAAAACATAAAAAGCACCCGCAAATAATTTCCGTTCTGCACGAGCACGTCGCGTGGTGATCTTTCTCATGAAGCGATCGAACAACGTGCATACGATTGAGAATCAATTATAGGCGAAGCCTCGATGCGCAAAAATCGAGCGCCGCGACCCGCATGTTTTTCCGCAAAAAGTATCTATCGCTATGGCTTATCGTTTACCCGTGGGTTCCGCAATTTCGGCAAGTATGGCTAGTACGGTGGAAAACTGCAATGTTTCTATTGCTGCGGCGCGCATTCCGCGTGAATTGCATTTGATCTGGCCCTCTGCGTTCGATTTGACGAATTTTCGAAATACAGTTGAAGTTACGCGAGCACTTCCGATAGCACGTACATACGCGCTCGCAACGCTTGCGTCGGGAAAATTAATATTAACTTGCATTGCTCGCATAGTTTACAAATTGTGCGCAGCACTTTTCGAGAGTAAATTGCAACGGAAAATTAGTAATACATAGTTAGGCGAGCAAAGTTTGCGAATTCATTATTACAAGCCTCATCTGTTCTCGTCGAGAGTCATTATATTTATTGGGTGATTTCTTTTTATTTGGTCTCTTCGGCGAACCGCACACAGATCAGATAAAAAAATCCATTAAAAATGCCAGATTTTATTAGATGATTTTACGAGAGCAGTGTCTTCTCCTACAACTACATAAGAGATAGTTTTGAGCGATAAACTCGATAGTAATGAAGAAAAAGAGATGTCCTATCAGCCACCCGAATCACCTTTGGTCGTAGGGGCGCGGCAGGCTGGCATCTCGAGTATCGATTGCGTCAAAAGTGGTGCAGGTAATCGAGACAGCGTCGTCCCCCTCGTTGGCGCATGCACTTGATCCAATTATTCATCGACGATCGACCTTTGGCGTAATGAGATATCTGCCGAGGAAAATAGAGGGGAAAAAAAAATGCCGGTCACCCGCGCAAAGGAGCGCCGGCGCCTTCGATTACCATTGTTTCGTAACACCTCGCATTTTTCTCATCGCGTCAATTGGGACGGCGCAGTGATCCTGCGCCTTTTTTCATCGCTCGCACTCGTGGAGCGTATACGCGTGTCGGAAACTCGGTCACAGATTGATTTCCTAACGTATGCAAACGAATTAGGTATCGGAGTCGAATCGGATTTGATTGATTGGCGGAACGTCGTTTTAAATCTTATTGAATGCCGCCTCCATCGAGCTTCAATTTTACTAATTCACTGCCTCTAACTCGACATACTCAACTCGCTTCTTTCGACATTGGTTTGCGCTTCTTGATAATACCATTAATAAAGTGTGTAAAAAGAAATTAAAATAAAATTCTGAAGAGAATCTTCTCTTATATTTTAGCAAAACCAATTTATCGAAAAAAACCGCGTCGAATCTCCGACCACTGGTAAAGAATGAATTAACTTCTTTTCCCCTTTCGCGCATGCTAAACACTCTCTCCTTCGTAAAAATTGGCCGGAGGCGTCTCGACCTTTGAAGCTGAACCGCGCGTGCTTATTTCGCATGGCTGCGTCTATAATCAAAGGGAGGCCTTCTTTCCTAGGACTCGTTTGAATCCCTCTCGCACGCAGCGACTCACGCCAATGAAGCCTCAAGTGCGCGCGCTTATTGAACGGCGGCTGGCCTGCCGGAAGTCGACGCGCAGTCCTGCAACGAAGAAATGCCACGGCGCAGCCACCTCCGGGGGCTAATATAGCAAGACTGAACAGTCGCGCGCGCGCGTACGCGCGGCCGAGGCGATCGTGAAAACGCAACGCAAGCAGTGAACGGAGATTTCAGTTTTTCTTTTAAACGCGAGAGTCGACGCAGCTTTTACGCCTTCCATCGGTCATTCATTTCTATAAATTTATTATTTCTTTTATTAAGGTTGCTTCCACCCTGTGCTCTAAATCGACCTAATGACAATCGATAAAAATCGCATTTCCATATATCAACTGAACTCGTAAAAACACTACGTCGCTCACACTAGATTTTCTGATTTGTTAACGAAACGCCAAATCAATATCCATTGAATCCATTTCCACCAATCGCATCGAGTATTCTATTGGATTTTGAATATTAACGAGGAGCGCCCGGTTCTACCGTGGTAAGCGAAAGCGTTGGAGAGAGAGAGAGAGAGAGAGAGAGAGAAGTATTTTCTTTTTCGCCAACTCAAGCGTAAATGAGCGTCAAAGAACTGATGTGATGGCACGGTCATTCCACTCGCAGCAAGAGACAGAGGAAAGAGTGCGATGCACGCGACATACGGACCTTGTTGCGGTAGGTACTGGGCAAGCACGCCCATTGCGCGTAGCTCATGTGAACCATGCTGGCGGAGTCGGTGTCGTCGCTGCACTCGTCGTCCCAGGACGAGTGGAGCAGCAACCCGCCGTTATCGATGCGCCCGGGTGACGGCACCTTGTCCCTCTGTGTGGCACTCGTTTTCGAAAACAAAGCAAACGACAACAACGACAACAACAACAACAACAACAACAGCAACACCACTGCCGCCGACACCTGCGATAGATTCAAAAAACTGCACGCCGCAATACGACGGACGTTCCGACTGGCCGCGCGCGTGTTAGTCGAGTGTGTGAGTGCGCGGCTCGGCGCTCGGCTCTTGGGCCCCAGCGAGACGGCGAAGCGCGCCGGAGAGGGGGCACTTCCAGGCGGTGAGGGAGAAGGCTAGCTTATATGCACAGCTGATAAGACGCTTTCCTTTACTTCTCCTTTTTTCCTCTCTCCGCGCGGACGCTGAGGAGTTGACAAAGAGAGATCGATTGCCGAGTGCCGAGTAGCCGGAATTTGGAAGATCGGTGAGGATAGGACGCTCTCATTGGGGACGCCAACAGGTTTTTTTTCTTCTTTCGGGATCTTACATTGTTCGGAAACCGTGTGGTTCGGATGCATTTGGGCGGAGAGCTAGCGTCAAATCTCGACGCTTTACATACCTGTGGGAAGGCAAGTTCCTTGGGAGGAGACCTATTGGGAATAAATTCATCAAACTGACGTAGGGCAATAACAGGAATGCCCAGAGAAGCCTTCAATGAGAAACTCTTTTCACCAGGTAAACTTTTAGACATGTTCGGAGGCATCGCAGCTCCAATTTTAGCATTAAAGGCACGGAGAACGAAGGCGAGTTCTAATCTGAGAATTATATCCTCGGCTCCGATCCCGTCCAAAATAAAGAATCAACAAGTCGCTTCCTGCGCACCCAAGCAGACGCAAGTGCGTCACGCGGGAAGCATTCGAAATCAAAAGAAAAGAAGCCCGGACGGGGCCTCTCCCTCCCCGATGCGGCGCTGCATCCTGCTTGGCGTCAAAGTAAACATAGCGCACGAGGCGTAATGGGAAGACCAGAAGCGCATCTCTCCGCCGTGGCGGCGAGAAATTCCGGGCGCTGCGTTCACACGAAGCGCGAGATGAGTCGAAAAACAGCGCCCCCCGGGCAAAGCCCTCTGTGACGCGATGTGGCACACAGCAGGTTCATCCCTCGGTAAGGATCTTTGAATTATTTCTGGGTATGCGCTCCTCGCGGTGCAATTTGTCTTCACTGGGAAAAAGAAGGATCTAGGTCATTCGATTCGATTCGCATTCCTTGCGCTGAATATCATTCTGGGATAGTCCTTAGATGATCGTTTTGAAGAAAGAAAGAAAGAAAGAAAGAAAAACAGAAGTATCATCTCTTTCCAAGCTGTGAGTTTTTTCTCTCGCGGAGTGTGAGTTCGACGATGTCGTAGCAGTAAGCGACGAATTTCGCAGGTCACGATTCAATATGTACCATGCATCTGTGGTCAAGGTACACACGCTAGATATGTTTACAACGAAAGTATGGGTGGGGGGGGGGGGGGGGGGGGAGGATCTGACTTGCGATCGACAAATAAAGCAGCATCACGAAGGCAAAAGGTATATTTGCAAAAAAGTAAGCATTAGAATTTCACAGATCCTTGCGTACACTAGCGTAGCGCTCATATCGCACACAGATGTGCAAGAGGTGAGGAGGCGCTGGCTCATGTATGCCTGGGTGGGCTGTGCACGCGGGCCGAGGATCGTGTCCCCGTGCAGCAGTACCGGTGCTTCTGATTCACCGATGACCAATGAGTCAGCGACGCCGGCACGCCGATATCGAGACGCCGCCGCGTGCTGTAGGTACGTGAGAGCGAGAGACGGACGGAGAGGACTGTATCGCGGTGTACGTACGTACATCGTGTACGTGTGTCTGTCATGGTCGGCCGGTTGGGCTGCGGTCGGCGGGACGCTGATTTATGGGAGCCGGCACTTAGCTGGGACTGCTGCGCGATGAATTCATTGAGAGAAAAATTGAGAGGGCGCTTGATTGCAATTGAAAGTTTCATTAAGTGCTGCTCGAGCTTGCGCCTTTTGCGAGAGTTTAAAATGCGATTTCTCGTGCGCGCGACGAGCGACGAACGAATCGAGCGAGCTGCGACTTGGTGTAACACATCATCGCGTGTCGTCGTTGATATAAATCCCTTTCGTAAATTTCGATCTCGATGCACGCGTCGCTCGACGACCTGCTATGCAATTCAAATTGGTCGCGAAGTCATCGCCCGTCGCGAAATTAAGCGAGCAAGGAAAAAATATAGTCGCGATCTTTATAAATCTCCGATAAAGCGAGGTCCGCGAGTCGCGCGGGAAAGAATGCATCGCACGCGGGCGCAGGCTTTATATATACTAAAAGAAACTTCGCTTATGTAGAAATGCATCGGGGCCGAGGCAATCGCATAATAAAGTTATGCCCGCGAGTCAACTAGTTTTCTCTTTCTCCATTACGCTGCGCGACGCGCGTTTGTCGTATAAACGTGTTTCTGGGTCGATGAACTTTCTGACGTCTTTCTTGTCAGCGACACCACACGGCTCATTGGATAATTCCCCTTTAGCTGATACGTATCTGCGCGTGATCTGGTCTTTGACGGCAAAAGTGCGATTCGTAAAAACGTGGGTAGATGGATTTGTCTGTCTTTGCCGTGGCCTATTTGCGAGAGCGCCGCGCATCGATGGGCTGACGACGAGTCTTACTGGCTTACGTGCTTACTGTTATTTTCAGTTTTGAAAGTGAAATTTTAAGAAATTCAACTTGGCTTCCATTGAAATTGCGCTATGCGATTCGTAAGCGTGAATGGGCATTTTATTTTATTGAAATTGGGGATAGCACTCGTTCAACGTGCTATTCAATTTTTTCATAGAAGTGAGTTAACGTTTTCCACAACAATTAATTGAAAAGACAAAAGACTTGAATTATTAGTTGAATGATTATCCATACTGTTATTTAAAAAGTGAACTTCGGTACCCGGCGTCCGACTTTGTAACAATGAGCTGCTAGCAGCCCCTGACGCGTTTTCAAAGTTGCAAAGCTAATTTTCGCTCGTTTGAAATGTTGATTCGGACTGAAGTTTTTGGATTACGTGAGTAAAATTTGGCAGCGCTTATGACCTAGAAAATCATTTTGTATCAGACAACGAAAGTCAAAGTGCAGTGAGTGGAACATTGAAAATACCGACGGTAGAAGCATTTTTCAAACTAATTTCCTCCGAAAAAGTAATTTTCAAACTTTCACGGACGTTGCAACAATCCTCCTGTGAAAGGCGATTTCCTCAATGAAAGTCATATTTGTCAAAAGTTCAGCCGTTAGCTTTAAAAACGCATTAGTATAATGTCTCGGTATAACAGTTCGCTCGCGAGGAGATCGCGCTGGAAAGTGGTTTACATCGTGAAAACGATCGGTGCGTGCGCTCGTTAATTTTCATAATACGCCGCCGAAGGACGCTCGAAAAATCGCGGCTTGTTGAAAATGCAAGTGCTTTCGTCCGAGCTGAGAAACGAAGGCCGTAAAAATAGTGGCAAAGGGAACGAAAGGTGTCCTCCTCTTATCACCGCTTATGTTCGCCTTTTATAAAGCGCATTTCTCGAGCAAACGTACAGCAAAAGCAGAAGCAGCAGCAGCAGAAGCGGGCTGACTTTATATTAAATTCTGGGGCGCGCCCCCGCGATTATTCTTCCTTCCGCTGCAGCTGCGCGCCGTTTTACCGCTGTTCTCTTATTTCGGAGGCGGCCGCGCTCCGCCGCCGCTGCTTATTGTTACCTCGAACCGCGTCTTCAATTCCAGATTATATACGCTGCGCAGATAACTCGGTCTAATTTTAGTATGGGCAATTTATTATATTGATCGAGCGAGAAGGAGCAAAAAATATTTAAAAAAAATAAAAAGCTACAAAATTCATTATAGGTTCCACGGCAAACCAAGTGAAAGCGCGTTATCGGGTTTCCATATAGGACGTCGGTTTCAACGCGAGGAGCTATAATATTGTTTAAACGCCGAGCTGATTTTGATAGGGAACCGCGTAATATCAGCCGAGCTCAATCTAAACTACAATCCCTGTGAGAGATAAAAGTCCTAGATCGCATTGTTTAAATTAATTATTTTACAATCGTCCTTCGTATTTTCCGCGAAAATGAGGATGAAGCAGCAGCCACTCCCGATTTTTAATTTCTCGACTTCTCCTCCGCTTTGTCTGCGCGCGAGAGTAGGGTTTTGGAATCGGTCCAGCAAGGCTATAGCTGAGAGCGCCGGCAAGCGAGCATCCGCGCGTACACCTACGAGCGCGGCGTCGCCGTTGCTCAGGCGTTATACGCGTGATTACGCGATTTCGGAATACAACGAGCCTTTACCGCCTCTAAATCACACGAGTTTAGCAAGTGCAATGGCTTTTTGATTCGAGGTCGCACCCACGAAATTCAATGGGGTCGTTTGCAGTTGTTCGGCTAGATCGTCGCTCAGATACACAATGCAAATCTTAATGCACGCCGTGCAAAATCTGCAAAGAAACTTGCGCAGAAAGGTCACTATTAACGGTGCTTTTACGCGCGACTGTAAAAAGAAGAAAAAGCTGCGTATTATTTCCACAGAGTAATACTTCAAAGAAGAACATTCAGCATTGTCCTGAAGTTATTGAATTTGAGAATGCTCCGCGAGCGAGAGAAGCCGGAGAAAACTGTGCAAAAGTAATTTTTATTGCGAGGCTCCCTATTCAGTCGAACAATTGATGAGAAACTCATTTCCAAGTTGCGCCGCGAAATTCCAAAAGAAATCCGGCGCAGACGTTGCGCAAGTAAAACCTGATTAAGTTTAATCGCACAAAGTATGTTGCCGAGAGTGGAGTTGCGGAAAAGTATTTGTTTTGTTAAGTGCGAGACGGTTATCGTAGTGCTTGTGCGGCATAAACATCAAAATTGACGATTGAACTATTCAAGGTTACGGAGCACGTCAACGTATAGAGAATGAATTTTGTCGCTGCAAGGGATCCCGTATAACAGTAATTAGACGCGAGGCCTTTGTTAGTAAAATAATATTTAACGTTGTCTTTGTCACCGTCAAATGATCCTGTTTGCGCAAACAAACGCTAAAACTACTCGCCTATTCGCAGGCACGAGCACAATCATAATATCCTGCCCCGTACTGCGAGCTAATAAAGTTCAAAGAGGTTCAACTGAGCGCGGCCCAACTAATCCCGCCGCCCTCTCGCTCCCGTCTCGCAAGAATCTCAGCTTGAGCAACTTGGCGCGGGCCGCGAGCGCGAACAATCTGCGCGTAAACTAATTTTCTCCGAGAGCAGCGACACTCGCCCGAGACTTTCATGGAGAATAAGGCAGAGAGCAAATTTTTGTTGAAACTGTTTATACAGCGGCGCCCGCTGATATCGATTCTTTTTCACACAAAAAAAATACCGGCAAAGCCTCGACATAGAGTCCCGAGTAATCCGGCAACGATGGCCTTTGCGAATTTCAATAGGTCTTTGTACTCCTACTCCGACGAATGGTTGTGTATATCTCGGTCCAGCCGATTTTGCTCCCAGCTTTGTGGCAGCCCAGTCGTCGGCAATTTTCTCTTTGGCTCGGGGAGTGAGAATTTCGCTGCGGGTTCGCGTTGATGCGCGCAGGCGACCAGAGTAAAAGCTTCGGTAGATGTGCTATGTGGCAATATGCAAAGTTGTAATTAATCCGTCCCTTCGATATTGCAAGCGGCAATTTCGTTCATAGGTATGTAACATTTCAGTCGATGTGTTGGGCTGAATTCTAGTATTAGCGATTAATAATAATAATTAATTAATAATAATTTCTATAATGGTGATTAATTACTCGAAAAAGTCGGATTAAAAAAAAAAATATCGTTTCAATTAGAGATTCATGATAAACTGTTATCTGTACCTAGTTTCAGGCTCTTTTCAAATTTACGTGAGATTCATTTTATATCTTTTTTTGCCAGGTTCACACGGAAAAATTTAATTTAGTAGAAAATATTTCATCTCTATTACTTATTAAAATAATTCGATGAAAAAGAAATTATACTTCATGCTTGAATTTTAATTCATAATTTTGAAAGTTTTACCAACGGGGAATTTTATATTCTCTTCAATGTAGAACTTTTCTTCTTCAAAATTCAAAATGATCCCACATTAAAAATTTACTTAGAAAAAAATCTTTTACGGAGTTTTCACAAAGAGAATCAATAGTTCACAAAAAAGAAAAAAAAAATCTTTTCAAGAGTTCATAACGAAGTAAAAAAATTAGTCGTCATTAAGCACAGCCGGATTTGAATCAGGGATCTGCCAATATTCGGTCGAATGCTGCTGTTTCACTGAGATATGTTCCCCTGCTCTTCGATTGCTTGAACAGTTAGTTGAGTCATGCGAAACCAGCTGCACATGTTCTGTATCTCTATTGCATGCTTTCGTACCGATAACAACTTCATATCAAACAGCGTGGCTCGCGGTAGGGAAAAAAATAAACGTCAAAATTTTTAGTGACACGACACGTACGCAACTCCTTCTTCACTATTGCATTTTTCTCTCGGCACCAACAAATTGTTAAAAACGATCATCAAAAAAGAAAAAAAAAGAAATACAACAAAAAAATATCACGTCAACCATTAACAGTCGTCTAGCGAAAAAAGAAAAATCCGAGAGAAAAAATGCCCGCAGCTGAGGGTCCGTCAACAAGATCGACGAGGGTCAAGCCGTCTGCGAGAGCCGTGAGTCAAATAATGGCGGCATTGAAAAAGTCGGAGAATGCCGATGGGCCAACGATGACTCAAATCGTCAAGTTCGTCTCTTCTGCGCTGGCCAAACCAGCGACGAAACGACAGGTAAACCTCAAAAATCCTGGCGATGAGCCGTAAACGCGAATTTCGGTGCCGCGAGGGATGACATAAGTTGGCTGTGCACGCGGACGGTTTATTGGAAAATGCTTGCATAACTTGGCAGAGCCAATATTTATCTTAGCTGGTTTTCTTTGACGTTTCACGCCCAAGTAGCCGGTTCTAATTATAGGCTAACCCCGATGCTTTCGACGCTCGGGGGCAAACATTTACGTACGTGTGCACATATTCCCTGCGATTAAGCTCTCCCCTCTCGTCAAAATTTTCAGATATGCACGGCTCTCAAACGCGGCGTGGAGTTTGGTATACTGAAGCGCAAACGAGGACACTATCTTATCACTTCGCCAGAGGAAAGCTTCAACCATTTACCGTTGAGCGGCAAAGTCGGAGCGCGCAGTCGATATCCCGCAAAGGTGGACAAAGCCAAAAGACGCGCGCCGCTGAGGGCGAAGCGTTCTTCGGTGACGTCGAGATGAAGCCGTGGACGACGTTACAACATCGATTCCCTTCTCGATACGTGCTATTTGGCAGCAGTGCCGTGCAAGATTTTATCATGTTTGAATTTCAAGTAATGGCCGTGCTTTTAGATCAGTTCCGGCTATATTTAGGGTAACGCACATAAGTCTACGAGAAAATTACCGAGTTAACGGTGTAGTCGGGGACGAATGTAACTCTCAGTCAATAAACACACGGATAACTTTATTCGCGGCTTTTATTAACTAGCAATAAAGGGATAACGCGTAAAGTTTTAATCATGCTGAAGACAAGATTTGAGCTTGCATCTCATTGCGAAAGGCCAGAAATGAGAAAATTGAACAAAGCATGCGTAGTAGAGCAGATGACACGTGACGATCGCGTACGGGCTGGTCGCGAGAGCGCAGCGAGCATCGATTGAACTCGAGAGAGACAGAACATTGCCAGTTCTAATATCCATGACAGCGAAGCCAACGTCACGAACTCTTCAAAGTGGGTCAGTCGGCACGTACACACGCAGACATTGCACGAGTGCCAACAAGCGTTAATTGCGCCTCCTCTTAAGGTCATCGCAAAGACCTTTTCTGTTTTTTCTTCTTCCCTTTTGCGTTTACCTGTTTACTTTGTGGCTTTGTTTACACGAGCTTTTTCATCAAGAAGGGCTACGGCAGGGGTCGATTCAATCAAGCGCGAGGGAGACGTGACTTCAAAGAAATTAATCAGCGACTGCAATTTACTTTCATCCGGTGTGTATGCAGCACTTTAGGCGACGATTTTGCTGATATCTTTGAAAGCGCATCTCGGCTCGCCTTACGCCTGTGTGATGTTATAATACAAATCTAAAAAGAGCGAACAGGGTGACACGACTCGTCAGGCGAAATACTCGCCGGACGATTGCGGCCTCGCCTCTTTATTAGGTCGCCAGCCAGTGTCCACGCGCTAACGAGTGGACTTATTCGCTGCCTGTTATTTCGCTAGGTAACTCGAGAGCAATAGTCCGTTCCCTTTGGGCTGCTTGCACGGAGAATTGCCTAACTCGTTCGCTCGCAACGGATTCGGATTCTCATCTGATTCGCCAGCGTTGATTTAGCGATAAGCTATTCACGTGTTCCGCGCGATGCGCCGAGCCCGGCCAAACGCTTTTCAATAATGAGAAAAGACGCGAGCTCGAACGCGTATCGCCGATCGTAATTGTTTCGATGAATTTAACCCAGTGAGCGCGCTTCATTGAAATTTCGCAGCATCGAATGCCCACGCGAGCTTTTCATTATATCAGCGAAATCGTGCGTCGAGCGTCCATAAAGTTCGCCCGCCTCCCCCCACCGCCCAACATCCTGTGATACACTAACAGTTTCTCCCTCGATATATACGTTTCTCCCGTTCGCTATCGGTTTCTCTCTAATTGCGCCCGCCCATACGAGATATCCCAACGACTTTGCCTAGTTTAGCGCCTTTCAATATTCGTTACCTGTCGAATACGTCGCCCTTTTCGCGCGCGCTCGCGTGCTCTTCGAAAATTCATCGCGGAAACGGAACGCGGCTGAGCTGCATCGCGCGGCCTGAAAAGAAAAACAAAGAGGAGGGAGAGAGAGAGAGAGACGAATTTCTTTCGTGCAAATAAACTCGTAAGCATGTCATTTTAATTATGCGAGCGAAGCGCTCGGTGTAGCAGCCGCGAGGGCAACGACCGTCCACTGGATGCGCGAGCGCGCACGTTTTAAACACGCGATAATTATATCATACGCATTTTACGTGTAATTACTCTGTGGCTGCCTCTGAGTCCTTAAATACCCTTCTCTCCTCTCTATGCGTGCATATATATTCAGGTGCAGCGAAATTCAGGTTCGTCAGATTGATAAAAATTAGATACGTAGGTTTGACGCGTAGTCTGTAATAAAGCAGATCTCGATAATCTTGTGCAGCCATTTTATCGGAAGAGGTAGATTAGAAATCGAATAATTGAATAATCAATCCAGCTGCCCTTAACGTAAACAAAACAAACGAATACGCGTTTTATTTTTGTCTCTAATTTCATAACCGGAACTTGTAGATCGTGCATTTTTTATTTTGTTTTTCCTAATAAAGTTGATTGACACTCGTTGCGCACTGCCGCTTACGGTGAAACATAGTAGTAGCTCCGATTTCAAAAGAAAGCATAAAAGATTATAAAGATTTATAAGTCAGTTTGTAATTCGCATTGCGAGATTGTAACGGCGTGCCCGCCAGAAATCTTGAAAAAACAAACGCTATATCTTAATTTTGTAAGATTGTAAGATTACATAAATAAGAGATCATGTCGAGCATGAATTATTTGCAGAAGCGAATCGTGCGTTATTTTTTCATAAATATCTGATCGTTCGCTTTGCAAACCGAATAAACCTCGGCTCGTCTATCGCGTAATGCAGGACTGGCGAATTCGTCGAAAAACGCACGGCTCCTCACGTCCAGCCATCAACAAGTATAGTTTAATCGGTCTTCTTAGCAGTAATATTTAATTGGCAATCCGAGCACAATAAAGGCACATCCTCATATCTGACTTAATAAAAGTTAGTTTGCATCGCTCAGGCTTGATTCATTGCATCAATTGTTCATTAGGCCTGACAAATTGCCGGAGCTTACGTCACTACGGGCGCCTGAGCGGACAATGCATAGCGTCGTTTTTCGCACTCGCGCGCAAGCACGTGACTTCATTTAAGTTGGCTGACCTATCTTGCCGGCAATCTCAATTCGAAATTAACGCCACGGCAAAAATAAACTTCGCCGCTGCGCCCGGAGCCCCGATCAATAACGTGACAGCACTTCCAACGACACCTCTGCTTCTTTCGGCTTTTCTCTAAAAGTCCGACTCGCCGAAATTCAATTCAATTATCTTGCGCGGACAACAGGATACTCGACGCGCAGTGGACTGCGACTCGGCCGTTAGGTATAATTGAAAGCTCCAGCAGGAAGTTGTAAATTCTTCGCGAGCGAATGGCAAGTTCGGCGGCAATAATACAAGTGTTGCCGGCGACATGAAAATCCAAACGGCGTCGTAGATGCATTGTTCGAAGGCTGCAAAGACGCTTGGGGCTTTTGTCGACGCGGCGCGCGAGATAGCGCCGTTACGACGATAGTTCTCATTTGTCAGCATTGGCATGCGCGCGGAAAGCGGAGCAGCGGCGTAGCTCCAAAATGAAAATTTCTGCAGCGGTAGGCCGGACACGGGTCTTTACGCTTGTTCAAGCTAACGTCTCGGCTTGAAAGATTCGGCTGCTGCCGCTGCACTGCGCCATTACGTAAGCTTTTCTGCAGTGAAAATACTGTGCGCAGGGAGTGCATTTGAAAAATAATCTCACGCTCACTCGAAGAGAACAATGGTTATGTGTACGCATCAAGGAATGTTTTTCCTTCGTGGCGGTCATCTTCTATGTAGGCACGAGCAAGGCGGCTACCGCGCGCGTGCACAATGCCGATGCGATCTGCTAAGTTTACAACCTGTTAGTTTACATTCTAAGACCGTTCCAGATCGATCGTACACTTCTTTCCAATGCAAATTCAAATCGATTCAACTCTCGGTGTAGAGCTCGCTCGACAGCAAGATCATTATTCTTAAAGACTGCGTCGCACGTGGCTGTTTTTTCTCTTTTTTTTTTATTTGCGAAAAAGTCTTTTTGCCTCGGTGGTAAAAGGCAACGAGATGGCGATTGAAAATCAAACGGGAGAAAAGCCGTCGAGTTTATTTGCATGCTCGATCTGTTGCAAAATAAACGGGCTAATGTTATTCTAGCCACGAATCTACGTGGACGCGAGCCATCGCGGGCATCGAAAATAGCGTAATGGAAAGCCGATACAGTTTTGACAGGGGCTGGCGGGCGGGGGCCGCGCGAGCGGCGCCGGCACTCGTTTCACGTTCGTTAGTTGTGGCGCGCGGGTCGCGCCCGCTCTCTATTTTTGCAGCGCGCGCGAGCCTCCCGCTCGCCTACATGGCGTCGTCGCCAGACGCAGACGCGCGGAAGAGCCCGCTCGGCATTTCGAGTGCACGCTCGGCGCGGGAGTACGCTCGATCGAAATCGTCGAGGCGTCCGAAAACGCCGAGCGCTCATCCCGCTACGGGATCTCTATGCATTTATGCGCGACCTCGGGACTTTCAGCGAGTGCGGATTTTATGCTCTCGCTCGCTCGATGGACATTATTTTTCGCTTTATTTTCCCTGCCTGCTGACGCGATTCTTCAGCACCGACGTCAGGCATTCGCGCTAATTTTCTTGACTCGGATCGAACGAATAAACAGATTTTCGATCTGTTATAATGTTCGTAAAATGCACAAATATTAACGCGCTGATTTGATGACGATGATATTCCAAACGAGAGTGTTGGTCTCAAAATTGAAAATAAAACCGAGATGTGATTTTTAGCAAAGCATTAACAATGTATATTGCCGAGTGGCTACACGTTTCGCCAAATGACATCCGTTTCGTTGATCTCGTTTCCCGTGGAAATGCTGCGAAGCGTCGAGTGATCACAATAGCGCGCAGTCCAAATGATCGTCGATAATAATTTCGAAAATTACACGTTATAGCTTCCGAAAAATATTCCACATTATGCCACTCCGGTCGCAGGCACATTGCTCGCTGCTGTCCATTCTGCTGAGCCGAAGAATTCACCTTCATTCCACGTTCATTCAGAATAATATCATTATCCGGCATAAAATCCGGGCGTCTGGCTCAATTCAATTGCGCGAGCATCCTCAGCGAGTAAAGAGAATTATGCAAAGGCTCCAGCTGTTGGCAACCACGATGGTCGTCGAAAAATCGAACGAGCGCGCATACCCGCTCGGATGTTATTGTTTCTTCTCTGTCCCAGCGGTGGCGTCGATAAGAGAGCCCGCGCCGCGCAATTGATTTGCCGCTTTTCAAGCTCGCTTCTCCCTCCGGCCTCGCTCTATCCCCATTTCCTTCGGTCTGTGCCGGAACTTCCGCTGCTACCGAGGGATCGACCAATCAAATTTTGGGCCCATGTAGCCTTTGCAGAATCCACTCTGCAAGAGCTATTGCTCGGGAATTTAATTACAGCGGCCGACTAAATTTTTCATCAAATTGGCCTGATACTCCCCACTCGCGTGCAGCCTGCTATTGGAAAA